ACTTATCCCACTTATATCCCCATGATCCCTATAAAGCAAAATGATCTTGATAAATATACTCTTCAAGAAGCTGCATATCAAGTTTGGTGACTCTGGCTTTTAAAACCTACGAGATTTGCTCAAAAAACAGAATTTCGATATCGATTTGTATCGATTACTTGAAAGCTGAGCAAGTTATCGATTATCGGAAACGAACTCAAACTGCGCGGGCACTTGGAGGATATAAGTTCCAAAATTTATGCTTCTAGCTCTTATAAGTTTTGCCTACTACACATTATACAGGGTATTCTTTGGTCTAGCTTGCCGAGTTTCAGCTGGCCAATGCGATTTGCGAGAGCTCGGCGTAAAACACATGATAAGATAATAGTTTTACCAGACCAGACGCTATATAATCTCATAGAGGCCATTTAGCCGATTTCTGACCAATAACAAAATTTATTTTTAATGCCGAATTTCAAATTAAGTGAAAACTCACATTAGTTGGCAATTGAAGATGGAGAAGAAGAACGGAATTCGCAGATCACTTTATAGGTCCGAAAAACTGGCCAAATACATTGAGAGGGCTTATCTAATCAAAAGTTGGACTAATATGATCTTGAACAAGCGCCTGGTCTAATCAATTATTGTACTCAGAATTCCTCATATCGTACCATTTCCAATTTTATAGACGTCGAATTGGGCTGAGAATAAACACAATAGTCACGGTTAACCAACTTTTTTTTTTGAGCCAAATAAAATTATTCATGGGTCAATTCGTAGCAGAAATCATTATGAAATTGGACGCTACACAATTGTAACTTACAGGTGTGCCAAGAAATAATATTGATATTCTACTTTGTATGCCCATTAAAAATGCTTAAAGAGGGGCATGCTGATTTTGTGCGACAGTATGTGACAGGCAGACAACGAACTGAGTCTAACTTGCCTTCCGTCCATCTCTTCGATCTCAGATTTATGATATATTGATTTGGAATTTGATTTGTGGATCTCGTAGTCGGGCATGCCCGACTTCGTTCTTGTACAGTTTCAGTCATAAATTGGCATTTATATTAATCTTATCAGTTGCCCGCCAAGCGAGACATGCTCAAGTCCAACCACTGAACAGACAATCGATTACAATAACAACAATCACAACAACAATTACAACAACAATCACAACAAGAACAATCATCAGCCGTGGCCATGGCGGAGCGCAGGAAACAGCAAGTGCCACCGGGCCATTACTTGTGCGGCCTGGGCAAATGGCATCCCGCCTGGCTGCAGAAATACGCGACCACCAAATGGTTCATGGGCGTCTACGGTCTGCTGGGCACCATCCAGGCGATGTCCTATATGTACTTCATTGTCACGTTGACCACCTTGGAGAAGCGCTTCAAAATACCCAGCCAAACTACAGGTGAGCAACTCTGGACTGCGCAGTTCAGTTTGATTGATGGGGGATTGATGCGACATGATTTGATATATGATATTAATTACCAACAATTAATTGTAAAGTTCATTCACACTGAAGGAATCATGTTCTATAAATAACTATACAAATAACTTGTGGGTGCTATTAGCCGGCTTTGCACGGCGCAAAAGTATTTAGGCGAAAATAGAATTTTAGCTCATGCAACAGGTTGCATGGATGTTCCATCGCCCAAGACGCTTCAAACCGGGTTTGAAGCGAACCGAGTTCGAACCGAATCGGTTCATGCTCATGCGGTTTTGACCTGTGCTTCAACCATAGGTCATTCAGTCAATCAGTAACTTATTAATAGAATTAGTCGGTAGTACTTATTCCATAAGTATTCCTATTTCTTTCGCGGGCATCGTTCTTAGTCGCAATAAGATATTCTATACTTCAATCATCAGTCATTCAGTCAATCATTTGCTTATTAATATTAATAGTAATTTCGATACTTACCATCTCCGATGCTCGATACCTATTGCTTTCGCAGGCATCGTTCTCAGTGGCAATGAGATATCCCAGATAATGCTGTCGCTGATATTATCCTATATCGGTGGGCAGCGCAATCGGCCGATGTGGATAGCCTGGGGCATTATGCTCTGCGGCGTATCCTGTTTTATTCTGGTGCTGCCCCATTTCATCTATGGCGCTGGCGATGAGGTTCTCCAGCTGACCAAGGAGTACCAGGACAGTCTCTGGAACAGCTCCCTGAACCTGAACTACACGTCCATGGTTAGACCCGATCTTGTATGTACATATACATGTATTTATTGCAAGCTTTGTCATTTCAGCAGAATGTCAGCTCGACGAAGACGCAATCGGAGCAGCTGTGCGGCGTGGGCAAACCCGAGGAGAACTGCGACAGTCTGTTTACGTACGTTCCCCTGGTGCTTATCTTCTTCTCGCAGTTTGTGCTGGGCATAGGCAATACCCTGTACTATGCCCTAGGTCAGACATATCTGGACGATAATACGAAGCGCACGAATACGCCGCTCATGTTGGCTGTGGCCATGTCGCTGCGCATGATTGGACCCGTCTTTGGCTTCTTCTTCGGTGGGTTGCAATGATTGCTCCATCTCCCGATTACCTGCTTATTCCACCTCTCCTTACTTAGGTTACATCTCGCTGAACACGTTCATCGATCCGAGCAAGACGCCGCTGATTGATGACAAGGATCCACGCTGGCTGGGCGCCTGGTGGCTGGGCTGGGTCATTCTGGGCACGCTGATGTGCATGTTCTCCGGCCTGATAGGCCTCTTTCCCAAGCGGCTGCCCAAGAAAACGGATGACCCCAAACACAATTCGCATTTGCCGCACGTTCTGCGGCACGAGGAGCTTAAGCGCGAGGAGGGCCTCTCGCTGAGCAGCCGCGTCTCCTCGAACGCCGCCCTGGACAGCATTGGGGCTGGCGGCAATGCCGATCTGCCCAAGCTCAAGGATTTTCCAACTGCTCTGATGCGTCTGTTGCGCAACAAGCTGCTCATCTTTAATATCACATCGGGCGTCTTTTACATACTGGGCGCGTCCGGCTTCATGACCTTCCTTTCCAAATACATGGAGGTACAGTTCCACAAGGCCGCCCACAGTGCCACCATTGTCGTAGGTCCCGTCTCCATTCTGGGCATGGTCGTGGGCCTCTTCGCCTCCGGCCTGGTCATATCCAAGAAGAAGCCCTCCGTTAGCAAGGTGCTCATGTGGAATGTTTTCGTCGGCTTTGTCTACATATGCGGTCAGTTAAATATTTTTAATAATCTTTTTTCTATATTCTCTTCATTTTTATTAATTTCTTATGTACTTCCGCTTTACAGGCCAATTGTCATACGCCTTTTTATACTGTCCCGATTCTGTATCAATGGCTCATTTGGGCAAGTAAGTAATCGCTTTAATTACTTGTTGTCTCTATTTGTTGCAGTTGTTTGTTATTCACTTCTTTATTTAATATTTAATGCGCACTAATTAACTTTTCACTCAAGTCCTGCACTTTTCACTGCTCCGTTCGTTTTTGAGTTGCCATTCGCCTCGCTGCATAAGCTTGGCCTTACCAAGCGTTGCCACCTTTTTATACTTTAATGTACTCGTGACGTCACTGTCTCCGCCAAACATCAAAACATGCATTCACATCTATTTCACATAAATAGTCCTGCACGCTTTACTAACTTCTTTTTTCGATCTGCCACTCGCCTCGCTGCACCCGTGACATCACTAATCCTGCCAAACATTATAACTTGCAATTCGTAACTATTTATTTTAATTAGTCCTGCACTTTTCACTGCTCGCTTCTTCTTTGATCTGTCATTCGCCTCGCTGCATAAGCTTAGCTAAGGGTATGCGTTGCCACCTTGTTTTACTTTTATGCACTCGTGACGTCATTGCTCCAGCACTTTTCACTACTCGCTTCTTTTTTGAGCTGGCATTCGCCGCGCTGCATAAGCTTGGCCTTACCAAGCGTTGCCACCTTTTTATACTTTCATGCACTCACTTCTATTTCTCTTAAATAGCTTCAATTTGTCGACCAATTGCAATGCGAACTGCTCCTGCGAAGGCGTCAACTACTCACCTGTGTGCCATGAAGCCAGCGACACCACCTACTACTCGCCGTGTCATGCCGGCTGCACCAGCTGGAACGCCGACAGCAAGCTGTACGATGAATGCGCCTGCCTCAAGGAAGATCTCAAAGCTGTACCGCAATACGGGGGCTCGGAGCGTTTGCTAATGGAGCTGCAGCCCACGGGTATGTCGCTGACAGAGAGCACCGATCTGGACATCGATCCGGCAGCCGTGCCGCTGCTCAACGATGACTATTCCACCGAGCTGCAGGAGGATCTATTGACGCGCAGCAAACGGGCCGTGTCCGATCTGATACTGCGTCCGGGCGTTTGCATGGATGGCTGCAATGTGGCCTTCTGGACGTTCTCGATTACCTCGACCATTGTCAACTGGTTTGGCAGTTCGGGTCGCATTGGCAATGTGCTGGTCAACTATCGCACCGTGTCGCCGGAGGACAAGTCCTTTGCCCAGGGCCTGGCTTTGATGATGATCAGTTTGTTTGCCCTGATACCGGGTCCGATTATCTTTGGCCGCATCATTGACTCCACCTGCCTGGTGTGGACCAAGACCTGCCATGGCAATGGCAATTGTCAGCTCTATGATCAGACGAGATTCCGTTATTCCGTCAACTTTTTATCGTGCCGTAAGTAAGCCACATATATTTCCCCTTGTCATGCCCACAGCTCTCCTCCCTCCCTCCCTCCCTCTCTCTCGATCTCTCTCTCCAGTGTTCACCTTCATTGGCGTCTTCTTTGATTGGCTTGTCTGGTACTACGGCCGCGATCTGGATCTCTATGGCGATAAGGAAGCCAAGCGCCAGGAGCAGGCGACAAGGCGGGATCAGCCCATTACGCCGCTGTTGGCCAAGAAAACGTCGGAGCAGGCGGATTGCTAACCGGCTTCCGATGCAATATACTCAAAAATCTGGTGCCAATCATGAAGAGTGTTCAGGATATGGTGGACTTCAGCTGTGGGCCCGATTCCAAAGCCATTTGTACAAACATTTCGCTGAATTACGGCTAACTATGGATGCGACAATTGTCATGTGCGTCGTTTAAGTTTTGTTAATACATTTTTATCTGTAATTTGTTAATAAGATGAATTTATATGTTATAATGTTTAAATCGTATGCCAATAAAAAAATAAGCCAATAAATAAATAACTAAAAAGAATTCGAAACGATTTTCGAGTTACCTGACTTGTTTTAAGGGCTGCATTAAAGAACCTGTTCCGAGGGCTGCATGTTACGGGTTAACCGTTTTTTTAAACTTTAAAAACTTTATTGCCTGAACTAGTTCGCTGGTTCTTTCAGTTCAATATTGTGAACCGATCGATAAGTTTCCTTGATCTTTCACATTTGCCTGGTTCCAGAAAGCGCTCGATTTGCTTTTCGAAAATATGAATTTAATAAATTTATCTCTTATGTATGCAAATTTAATGATTTTAAAATTAGTTTTTGTTTTGGTTCGTTTTTTTTTTTTTCGTTTTTGTATTCTTTTTGTTTCGCTTTTTATTGATAAAAAATGTTCAAATTTATACGGATCTTGGATTTTTGTTGTTTCGCTTTTGTCTTTAAATATGTATACATACATGTATAATAATAATACATTTAATGTTGTATAAATATTCCCGTTTTGTCTATATAATTTCTATTATTTCGTTTTTTGTATTTTTTTTTTTTTTGTTTTCGTATCTATAATTCATACAATTTATATTTATTTATCAGTTGCATAGTTCTTTTCGTGTCATTATATAATTTTCATTTTAGTTACGAGTTTTTGGAGAAACATTTAAATATCATCATGTTTAACTGTCGGAGAGATTTTTAACAATTATATTTTCATAATTTCATTTGTTCGCCCCGCCTTTTGTTTACTAGAATGCGCGGTAAGCGTTAAAAAGCAGGTGTTATTTTTTTGTTTTCTTTCATTTAATATACGCTTGCTTTTCAAATACATTTCAAGTTAATTGAATTAACTCAAATATGGGCGAACTTATTTAACTTAGTTATGTATTATTTTCGTTCGTTATGCAAGTCTTGTGTAAATGGTAACAACATTTCAATTCAACTTTCAAATGAACCTTTCCATTAAATTAGATACACAAGTGTTACTTTTTTCTTGTTTTCGTGAGCTTAAGATACAATTTTTTAGAAGGGTTTAAACAATTTTGAAACAAAAAAAAGCCATTTAGTCGTTCGGAGATAAGAGAGCTCTTGATTTTTGTGGCGCTGAAACCGTCTTGTTCAAAAATTATCCAGACTTTTTGTATAACTAAAACAAAATACAAATCGATTTTGGTTTTTGGATTTTGGGAAACAAAAGGCATTTTTAGTTTATTTCGTTTCGTGTTTGATTTGCGTTGCCTTCAATTAACTAAGTAGTTAAACAAAATATATAAAAAATCAATTTGTTTTTAGTAGCAAGTGAAATTCTCATCATTTTTAGCATTTATATTAACAATAGTTAAGTAAACAAATAAAATGATTCTCTCTATCCCTCCCTCTCTCTCTCGCACACGCATCCGTTGCATCATTTTGAGCTTAAACTTAAATTTAAAGCATTTCGTTGAAACAAAATTGATAAAAGTAGTTCGTAATATTACAGAAAATGACAAACATAATTTTCCGTTTAGGCGGCGCATAACATATTTCAAAGGCAGAGAAGCAAAACATATTTGAGGAATTGGCAATTATTTATCGCTTATCATTTGTGTTTGTTGTTTTTGTTTTTCGTTTTTTTTTTTTTTTGTTTGTTTTGTTTTGTATAAATATAAAAATTGTTCAGCTTGCAGCTTTGTAGTTTGTTTAAAAAATTCACGACTCTCGCACTATATAATGATGCTTAAATGTTTACAACTAATAAATCGACGTCTGCTGCTTTTCATTCTGCTTGAGTTTTCTTTTGCCAATTTTAAACGTAATCATAACCCGGACAATATCTCGAATATATACGTACGTGTTGTGTGTGTGTGTGTGTGTGTGTTTGTGTGTGTGTGTGTATGTATGTACATATATATAAATAGTACATGCTCATGCTTTAGTTATACATAATATAGTTTATATTTATATATATATATATAATGCATTTCTCTTGCTCTCTTTTGCTTTCTCTCTCTCTCGTGAAATCTGTGTCTTTGCCAAACTGTTTCTCCTATTTTCATTCATTCTTTTTTAGATACTTGCTATAAATCTTCTCTCTAAACATTATCAAACGCTATTGCAGTTGCTCTATGCATATACATAATAATTGTGGAGAAACTAAAATCTTAAATGTGTGTGTGAGTGAGTGTGTGTGTAAGTGTGTGTGTGTGTGTAGAAAGCGTGGCGTTGGCGTTGGCATTGGCAAATTTCTCATAATTATCGTCTCGTCTGGCATACTTTGAAGGGGTGCTTGGTTTGCTATAAAGCCGCAGTGTAAAAGGCGGGCGCTCGAATTCAGCTAGGCTCAATTTATTCGATCACCTTGAGTACCTTGCCAATGGCAATGGTTTTATCTGCAAAGCAAAGTATATATATTAATTGTGTTATCTTGTGAGTTAGTTGCCAGTGCCAGACTCACTTTCATCTCGCAGCGTGAAGCGTCCCATTTGTGGGAATAGCTTGAACTGTTCAAGGCAAATCATGCCGTAGCATTCGATGCGCATTATTGCGACCTGATCCTGTTTAACGAATCTTGGACGTGTTTTTGATTTCTCGCCACTCTTCTTGTCCACCAAACAGATGAGTGCCTGTCGCCGCCAAACGCAAACAAGTTATATATGAATTGAGTTATTTAATGAGTATTTATTTGATCGAGACTCACCTTCACCGTCACCTCCTCGGCGGCGCAGTGTATGTGCATGACGGCCGAATAGCCCGCACAGATAATTGATTTGTGTTCCAATATAACGACCTGAGCATCAAAGATTTTGCCCGTTTTAATTGGATTGGCGGCATCACAGAGCACAAAACCAGGCGACACATCCTCCTCCTCGATGCCCTTGGATTACAAAATAATTTATTGATTAGACGATCTGAATTAATGCCACATATTTGCTGGGCTGCAAGCCGTAATTGGTTACGTACTTTCAGTTTAATCTTGACGTTCTCGCCGGGACCCACAGAGGTAACCTCGTAGTCGTCGGAGAACAGTTGATCCACGGCCACTTGCGTCTGCAATTGGATACAATTAGCACAAAGGATTTACATCTTATATCGATTTGCTGCACTAACCCGATTTGGCATCACGAGCAGATTTTGACCTTTGCGCGCGCAGCCGGACTCCACTTTGCCCATGACAACGGTGCCCATGTCCTTGTATTTGTCCACAATGGGCATGATGAAGGGTCCATCCTGATTGCGATTCAGTGAGGGCAGCTCATCGATGAAGGGTATAAAGGCGGGCCCTCGGTACCAGGGGCACAGCGACTCGGGTACTTGATCCTTGAGGCCATAGCCGCTGAGGCCCGAGCAAGGCATAAAGGTAAGATCCTTGGCTGGATTGAAGCCCAGCTTCTTGAGGTATGGTAGTATCTTGTCTTTGCATTCGTTGTAACGTCCCTGATCCCAATTCACAGTCGGATCGTCCATTTTATTGACCAGCACGACCAGGTGCTTAACGCCCGCCGTCTTGGCCAGCATGGCGTGCTCTCGCGTCTGGCCGCCACGATCGAAGCCCGTCTCGAATTCACCCTTTCGCGCCGAAATGACGAGCACAGCGAGATCCGCCTGCGCTGCGCCGCCAATCATGTTCGGCACAAAACTCTTGTGTCCCGGCGCGTCCAGTATGGTGAAATGCTTGCGATCCGTTTCGAAAAAGGCGCGTCCCACCTCCACAGTTTTGCCCTTGTCGCGCTCCTCCTGGTTTGTGTCCAGCGCCCACGACAAATACCAGCTCTCGCGCGACTTCTCGCGCGCCTCACGCTCATATTTCTCCAGCGTGCGCTTGTCCACCATGCCCGTCAGCGACATGATCTGGCCGCCAATTGTTGATTTACCAGCATCTGCAGGCGGAACGGTCGATTAAGCTATGCAATTGGCATTCTCTTTTCATTGAAAGGCTTACCAACATGTCCGATGAACACGACGTTGACGTGCTCGCGCTTGCTTCTGTTCTCCTCCACCTTGACAATCTTTTTCTTTGAGACCTTCGGCGTGGCTTCGCCCTCCACAAATTCGTCTTCGGCTTCCTCATCCTCGGGCGTTATGATGGCATCATCCTCCACGTCCCAGCTATCAGCAGGATCGGTTTCTGTAAATAATCGTTCATTATTTCAAGAGTAGAGAATTGTCAACAGGTGTCAAACTTTTTGTTTTACACCTGCTCAACGTACGCATATTTCTCTATAGACTAAAATGAATAAAACTGCTTTTTAATCTTTTTCGCACTCAAAAACTAAAACTGATTTGGATTAAACAAATTTCGTAAAAGCCAAGCAACAAATCGAATTGTTATTTATTATTTTTTTCCATTGACAAATGCGCTTTTCTTATCAACCGCAGCTCTTTGGCCTGCTTCCTCGTCTTATCAAAAATGTCAGCCCTGGTCTAATGTTATCTTTGTATTGCGCTTCGCTTCGCTTCTGAAATTGACATGACATTTTGGTGGGCGGGGGAGAGGAGGAGGAGGAGGGTGCTTCATCCACGTGCCAGCATGAGTCATTGGCTGCTGCAGGTGTTTGTCCTGCGTGCAAAACGTGCGCTAGAGATGGGCGCGTGTTGTATCTATTGATACGATTAACACGATTCAACATGAACTACTTTTAGCTCAAATTATAATTTAATTTATAATTTTTTTAATTTTATGCAGCCACTTAATATTTTATTTCAGAATGTTTTTTTTTTATATAAATTATATTTCTCAAGCCAAAACGAACACGCACGAAATTGGTTTTATGTAATACGAACATTTCGTGTTTTGTCTTCGTGTCACGACGAAAAATTTGCCACGCGCCAAAATCTGTGCCTCCAGAGGCGAGCGCAGCGGCAAGAGGTGCCCCCCCGCCAAAGAGTATTTATTTTCTCTTCGTCACTCGACGCATTCAGTTGAAACTGGTCAAATCTGGTCGACACAGGTTATGGCCTGGCTAATGCGCGCGCAGCTACTTTACCGTTACTAACTTTTGTTCGGTTGCATTTGCTTTGTGTTAATAAAGCGAGTGTCGCCCACGTCGCCGTTTAACATGTGAATTGGACTAAACACGAATTAAATTCAATAAGTGAACGTGTGTGCGTTGCGTTGCGACCGCGTCCGCTCGGCACGAAAAAGTAAAAGTAGATAACAGCAGGGCACAAAAACAAACGAATTACTGTACTAAGGCAACCTTCGTTGGTAACAGCCCTGCTTAGCAGGTTGTTGCTAGTTATCGATACTTCGCTACTGTAATTATCGATACCTCGATTAAACTAGGCTTGTAACTTTCCATAACAAAATGAAGCATTAAACTTATTAAAAAATATAATATACCTAATTATTACAAATAATTGCACGCAAAGGTGCCAACTAAAATTTAAATTCAAATTGAAAGCGGTTCAAACCGCAATGGGATTTGCTCAAAACCCACGCATACACCATTAGCAACTCCCATTTGGGCCAACACCACACATCGCGCGCAACTGCTTATGACATTAATAAAAATATCAACAACAACAACAGGGTTGTGCGTGGCAACGACACAAAAGCCTCCAACCAGGGCTGCGTCGTGTGGAGCCATGTGACCAATGAGCGGCATTCGCTAGCGAATGTCTTAATATGAAATAAGGAAAAAAAAAAAACAAGTAAGAAACGCTTTGAGTCACTCAACGGGCGAGCGAATAGCCATGCGAGAGAAGCAGGCGGCAATAAAGGCGAGTGAAAAACGTAAACGTGTCAAAACACAGAGAATGCAGCAGAGATGCGCAACAAGGCGCTAACTGTGTTAATCATTGTGAATAGGTAATGTTCGTGGCAAGCACTAACGCGATTTAAATAAATACAAATATAATAAATAAATATTCTATAAATTCGTATAAGAAAACTTAATTTAAAGTGAAGCGAAATATTTAACAATACTTTTACAATCGTTTTAAGTGCACTCAAAAAAAATCACTGTGAACGGGCACGCAAATATTGCGCATCCCTGAGACGAATGCACGATAAATGGCCGCACACAATATGAACAGCTGCTGCATCTAGTGTATGTGTGTGTGTGTGTGTGTTAGTAGCTTTAAGATGCATACAAATTGCGATGCTTTGCTTTGCAATTAAAAAGAGCACAATAGACACGAATTGTCACCTGCCCGTACGCCCACACACAGACACACATACACATACACATACGGGCGCTGGTTACCGCAACTTAATTTTAGGTTATGTTATGCGATAGACCGATAACCTAAGCATATTTGCGTTCATTTTGATTTTGATTTTTGTTTCTTTTTTTTGCCAGCTTATCAACAATAACAGTTTAGCTAGCCGGTTGTCTTTACTTTGGTTCTAATATGCACGTAGCGACACGTGACGTCACAATGCAAAAGTTCAATGTGCCCAACATTTGCTAAACTACCCCCAGGGCGCCCACACACACACACACAGGCAAACACTAAACATGCATATGTACATATATAGAATCTCCCTTTATATTTACCATTGTTTGCTGTTATTTTGTCCGCCGCATTTAGCTGTTCAATTGGCGCCGCTGTCGCTGGTGAAGGCGTGGTAACCGGCGAGCCTGGCGCTGGCGATGCCGAATTTGATGCGGCCGCCGATGATGGCGCTGCCGTTGTTCCCGTGCCCGTGCCCACGCCCGTTGCTGCACCCGTTCCGCCGCCACCGCCACCGCCGCCGCCGGCATTTAGGGCATTTGTGGAACCGGCACTGCCCGTGGAATCGGGCGTTGTTGCAGGTGTGGCACTACCAGATGCCGGCACGGAACCAGTTCCAGGCGCAACAGCATTATCAACTGGCGTTGCCTGCTCCGGTTGTTCTGTGGACGGCGGCGCTTGCGCTGCGGCTGCTGCAACAGCCGCTGCGCTGGCAGCGCTGCTGTAATTAAAGCTGGGCACAAATTCCACTGCATTCACATTGAGAGTTGAGAATTTTGTTGTAACTTCCGTATTTTCCTGAGCGGCCATTACTGCTACTGTTGTTGCGTACAAATTACTTTTCGAGTTAATTTTCAATGGAAATTTTCACTTTTCGCCTTTGCGCCTCTGCTCGGCACACACGCACACACACTCACGCACGCACTGCGACGTCGACGACGACACACTTTCGCCCTGCTTCTGCTGCTGCACTCACACAAACACGCGTTTGACTTTTGTCGTTATTGTTGCCACTGAGCAGTATTTGCATTAAGGAGGGGTGGGTGAAGTTGATGAGAAGACAGCCCAGCCTTTTGATTTGTGATTAATTTGTTATTGTTTCAACGTCGTAGCCAACTTGTACGGCGCTGCTTTTGCTTTTTGTTCCTGCACTTTACTGTCTGGCAGCACAACACGAAATTCTATATGTGTGTTTGTGTGTGTGTGTGTGTGTGAGTGAGTGTTGTGTCTTAACAATCCTCTTCACAGGCTGCGACAGCTTTTCCAGTCCTGTTCAACGTCTGTGTGCACACATATACAGCTGACAATTGAGCTCCTGACAAAAAACAATTTGTTTTTGCGGTTAATTTGGCGAATTTGTTGCAAAATTTGTAACAAAAATTTTACACGTTTCACCGCCACGCGTTGCAAAGCCAGGGATGGAAAATATCGATAGCCTTTCAATATCGTTTGTAACAATGCAATATATTGTATATAATATATATAATGTTTAATCTTCTGTTATTGTAGTTGCTTATTAAAAAACGTGATAAGCAATAACCGGTTAAAAAAAAAACTTTAAAAACGCAATTTTCTATTGAATCGGCTAATCGTAAATGTGAAACGATAAGCACCTTATAACGAAGAGAGTTGCCAACTTGTCTAGCACAACGTGACAAAATATCGACAGACTATCGATAATGTTGAAAACTATCGAAAAGATACAGATGTCAGCCATCGATAGAGCTGTATTCATTCAGTAAAAAGAGCTGAGCAAAGCAGGCACAGCTGGACAAAAGTCAGCAGCGAAAAAGGCAGTAAAATTTTTGCAAAGAAAACGTATTTTGAGTTTACAAAACAAATAGCGTTATAATGAGCACAGGTGGCACCGGCGGCGGTGCTGGCGGCGGTGCACGTCCACCACCCAGAATCGATGGCATGGTCTCGCTAAAGGCAAGTATACACCCAAAAGAAATAGAAAGTACAGCAACGCGGCCAGACAAAATGGCGGCCGGCAATTGATTTACCGTCTTGGGGTTAGATAACCTTTTAACCACCCACGCTAATTATGCTAATATTCATGTATTTCGCTCACTCAAACTGGTTACAGGTCGACAATCTCACATATCGCACCACACCCGAGGATTTGCGTCGCGTCTTCGAGCGCTGCGGCGAGGTTGGCGATATTTACATACCACGCGATCGTTACACACGTGAAAGTCGCGGATTTGCTTTCGTGCGGTGAGTAAATTGAATAGCTCGTTTTATACGTAATTAAACAAGTGAATTCACTGCAAGTCCGGAGCGCTTTGCTTTTTGACAAACCAGTCTACCTGAATTACATTGAGGTTAGGCACGAACCTGCATACCTTGCGGATGCGACAACCCTAATTTTTGGGTGGTTGCGCTCCCGAACTATGGCATGCCACATAAAATGTATTCAATTGCAACTGTTGCCTACCACAAATTTTGCTAGCCAACATACTGCGAATACTACAATACTCGACTACCAGAACTTTTAGGTATCATCAGGTATTTCCTGCATTTTAAATTCATCATGTTTGGCATTTATTTTAAAACATGATTATAAGCAAAATGCCAGATGAATTGTGTTCAATTGCAACTGTTGCCTACCCTTAACCATGCTAGCCGACATACTGCGAATACGACATTTATGCTGCTTAGATTTAATCTATATATAAAGTTTTTTATATATTCCCGGAGGTTCGTTGCATTTTTGCACTAACTACGCACGATCAACTCTTGCTATTGATCCTGCTCGCTGCAAAGATGCCAGAGAAAATGTGTTCAATTGCAACTGTTGCCTACCCAAAACTTTGCTAGCCAACATACTGCGAATACTACAAGTGTCATTCATATGTCCTCTAGATCTATCTATAATATATCTGTCTATCTAGCTATATAATATATCTATCTATTTATATATTATACCTAACTTTACCCCTACGACATCCATAACTAGTTCGAAAAGATCTTGCTTATATGATAATAAATGTTCCCTGTAAGAGCAAAGATTTGAATGGCATTTCGTTTATAGCATATTAAAGGTTCTATCTGTCAGACAGATCCTATACCAACTAGATGATATTGTTAGAGGATCTGAACAAGTTTTAGAATAGATAAATGTTCAACTGTAGAGTAGATACTCGACTTCAGACAGACTCTTTTTCTCAAGTTCGAAACAAATTAAATTTAATAAAATTGAATTTCCAAGAGGAAATATTATCAACACAGAGTTATAGTTAGATACTAGACTGTTGGAACAGACCCTAGATTTGATAATGTTCATCCTCAAGGTGAAGAAAATCATGTTTATGTATAATATAATACAATTCCTATGAAAGGTTAAGAAAATACCACAAACATGCTTGATTTTAGTAGAGAGTATCTATGAAGTATCTTAGTTGATCCCAACTCACCAAATTCTTAGAAGGGTACGTAATGCTGCTTAGTACAAAGGACCTAGAGAGAGAGAGACTGTTGGGAGTGCTTCCAAAGTAGAAGACGCAATCCGTCAACAGGCGGAAACCATCCCAAGCCGCTAGCAAGGCGTCTTATTGCTCCTGGAAGAAACAGAATTTAGTTATTTGGATTCCTTAAGACAAAGCTCTTTGTTATATAATTAGAAGAAGAAGCTTAAGCTTCCAATATAAGTTAGTAGATAACTTCTTAATAATAAACTAAATATACAATTAGGAAAAAATACTTAAGATATTTAAATAAATATATTTACATAAAAACAAATACCTAACATAATTAAATAAATATATACAAAAAAAAAAAAAAAATTTAAGTATTTAAATAAATATACAGCATTAAAAAAATAATTAACGTATTCAAATAAGTATATATACATTTAAAAAAAAACCTAACATATTAAAATAAATATATATACATAAAAAAATACTTTACCTATTTAAACAAATATAAATACATTTAAAAAAAATACCTGACACTTAAATATTTATATACTAAAAAAAAAAAAAACTAAAAAATCGGTTAGTTTTTCTTAGCATAAATTAAACTCTCTTCAATTTTCGCCTTAGTTTCTATGACAAGCGCGACGCCGAGGACGCACTGGAGGCCATGGACGGACGCATGCTGGACGGCAGGGAGCTGCGCGTGCAAATGGCGCGCTACGGCCGTCCCTCGTCGCCGACGCGCCGCAACAGCAGCAGCAGTCGTCGCGGCGCCGGACTCGGCGCTGGCGCCGGGGGTGGCGGTGGGGGACGTCGACGTTCGCGCTCCCGTTCGCCGATGCGTCGCCGTTCGCGCAGTCCGCGCCGTCGCTCCTATACGCCGCGCTCACGTTCCCGCTCCGCGGGCAGCCGTTCGCCGGCACGCCGCAGCAAGTTCTCGCGCAGTCCCATCCGCGGCGACAGTCGCAACGGCGTCGCCAGCGGCGCCCTGGCCGGCGCATCACGCAGTCGCAGTCGTTCCTAAAGACGCCGGCTCGCTTCAGACGTTCCATACTCGTGGGGGTGCGATAAGGTGAGCGCCAGGTGGAATATTTAACTGTTAATCTGTTCAATTAAATATGTCCTTTTTTTAGCCTTGAATTTGACTCGTGGACAAGGGTTTCCGGGCAGGTGCCCAACTGGGCTACCTGAAACAACTTCTCATGCTGTGTACCAGAACAGCAGGTATACAAAAAACAAAACAAAAACAAAACAAAACACAAAAACCGTTTTACACCAACACATATATACACAGAATATTTATAGTATACACTATTTTTTAAGTTGAAGAAGAAAACAAACAAAAAAAAAAAAAAAACAAAAAAGAAAAACAAACCGAGCATAGTTCAGTTTTGAGGTGAAGTTTTTTTTTTTTTTTTTTTTTTTTTACCTTGTTTCTGTTTGTTTTGTTGCGCATTCGTTTCTTCAGTTGAATTGTCGTCTGCTCAGACGATCGGAATATATAGGAACAGCAGGATAGGGTATCTAGGAGTCGATGCAGCATTTAAATTTCGGGCGCCATTTTATCAATTTGTGTAGCGCACACACACACCCACACACACACTTCAAAATAAAACTCAAAATTGAATAACACGAATATCGAAGAGAAAATCCATTTTGTGATGAGGACAAACCAAAAAAAAAAAAAAAAAAAAAAAACCCCCAACTAGCTGATATTTAACCGTTAACATTTGCAATTACCTTTTGTGTTGCTCGTTTCTGTTTCGTTTCGTTTCGTTTCTAACTGTTTCAATCACGATATAAACTTTATTAACAAGCTTTCCAACCATTTTACATATTTATATATACGCAGGCAAGTGTGCGCGGCGTTTGTTGCAGTCGCAGTCGCAGTCGTTGCTGCCGTGTGGCTGTTAATGTAAATGTTATGTTATGGCCGGCGAGTCGTGCGTGGGCAAGGTAGAGTCGCTGAGCGAGAGAGAGAGAGAGGGAGAAAAAGAGCGCGGAAGCAAAGCAGCGTGTGTGCTTTTTTTTATTTTTACTCAATTACAAACTCACTGAGAGAGAGAGAGAGCGGCGCCAAAGCAGACACAACGAGAGCGGAGAGCTGAACGTCGCGTCGCTGCTGCTGTTGCTGTTAACTGCAAAACTTCGCTGCGCTGCGGATGTTGCTGCTGCTGCTGCTGCTACTTCGATCTTCCCCACACACACGCGCGCCCACACGCACACACACACACACACACACAAATATTGTTGCTGCTGCTGCTGCTGCTGTTGAAGCTGTAGTTCGTGGCTCAACGTCTGCGTCTGCCGAAATGCTGCTGTTGCTGCTCTGCTGCAGATGCTGGCGTCCGTCCTTGTCTGCCTCAACTGTTTCGCTGTTTAGTTTGCCGTTGGCGTTTCGCTGCTTCACTTCTTGTTCGGTTCGCACTTGTTGCTGTTCCTGTTTGCTGTTGCCTGCCGGCGTTGTTGGTGTTTCCTGCTGTTTCCTGTCTAGCGATTGGGGCCTACTTTTGACTTTAGCGAAATTTGTAGCTGCTACGTGCACACCCCCCCCAACCAACCAACCCGCCGCCAGCCCGGAGCAGACCCTAACAACTGTGTGCGAAGACTTGTGTGCGTCCAGTTGGAATGCAACAGGTAAGTTTTGCATTAACATGTGCAGCTAACATTTACATTCCATTACAGCCAAATGCCAAAATAATGCAAATAAAAAATAAACTATTTCAATATTATATAAATATTTTGTGTTTGTAATGGGCAGGCAAAATACAAAGAGCAGTAAATGGGAGAGATATGGTTAGTTGGAGAGATGGCTGTGTAGACTTTTGTACTCCTGAATTGGAAAATACGCCACACACAATAAAGACTTTTTCAAGTTGTTTTCTGTTGGCTTAAAAAGTGAATATTTCAATTAATATATAATTGTTTATATTAAATTATTCATAGTAGTTTAATTTTGCTCAATTCTCATTCAACGCAAAAATGCCAATCAGACGCCAATAAGAAACTTGACGTTTATAGCACAGCTCTCTTTGTAGAGTTTTGGCTATTTGTTTTTTTGGTTTTTCGGAAGGGGGGGCTGTGTAGAGATAAACTGTGTTTATTGATAAAACGTTTCCAGCACAACGAAACGAGTTTCAAAGTTTGAAAATTTTCTATTTATTTATTGAAATAAATTCGTTGAACGCCAATTTTGGCTAATTGCAAAAATCAAAAAAATAAAATAATACCTCAATATGTATAAGGACAAAATGGTGAAGAACGACTCCTTCGAGCCGGATCTGCGCAAGGAGGGCACCTACATCTGCCCCATGCCGCAGCCCCCGCCGGCGCCGAGGGGCGCCCAGAACTGGCACGGCCATCTGGCGCCGCACGAGCGTCTCTTCTACCATCAGACGATGAGCTCGGTGCGCTATAGCAAACGTTTTCGCGGCAATGTGAACATACCCAAGGATTCGCTGGACTTTCAGCTGCAGGCGCGCTACGATCACGGCCGTGAAACGTTTCCGGAGAAGATTGATGCTGTGCTGCAGCGTGACACCTGCCCGGCGCTGACCAGCTGGGCGGCACCACACGGCCAGAAGGAGGTGGGCGCCATTTCACGCTTGAATCTGTTTCGTGTGCTGCGCAATACGCGCGTTGCGCGCCTTAAAATGGAGGATGCACTGGGTCATCCATTGAATATAGGTGAGTTTCGAGTTGCCAACTGTTGGCTTGAAAAGAAGGTACAGCAGTGTTGCCAACTTAAGCTGTCAAAAAGTGGCTGCATACAATGCAGAAAATGGCTGATTCAGAGAGTTGCCAAATCAGCTCTGAGCAGCGTTGCCAACTGTCTCCTTACACAGGAAGCTGAATTGGCTCTCTGAGGCGCGTTGCCAACTGTTGCTTCAAAAAAGTAGCTAAATCAGCTCTGAGCAGCGTTGCCAACTGTCGCCTTGAGCAAGTTGGTAAATTAGCTCTGAGCAGCGTTGCCAACTGTCGCCTCAAACAGGAAGCTGAATTGGTTCTCTAAGGCGCGTTGCCAACTGCTGCTTCAATAAATTAGCTAAATCAGTTTTAAGCAGCGTTGCCAACTGTCGCCTCAAACAGGAAGCTGAATTGGCTCTCTAAGGCGCGTTGCCAACTGCTGCTTCAATAAATTAGCTAAATCAGTTTTAAGCAGCGTTGCCAACTGTCGCCTTGAGCAAGTTGCTAAATCAGCTTTGAGCAGCGTTGCCAACTGTCGCCTTAAACAAGAAGCTGAATTGGCTCTCTCTCTGCGCGTTGCCAACTGCTGCTTAAAAATAGTAGCTAACGAATATAGCCAAATTCAGCTAAGAAAAACCGCTAAATTGGCAACACTAAATGGTGGAGCTGAAAAAAACAGGGTATTTAACTAACCGATTATTTTGAATTTCTCACAGGTGGCATCAAGGAGAAGATACATCCGTCGAGCGTCAAGCTGATCTGCAGCGGTGTCCATACGCAGCTGGTGAACAACGGCTTCTCCCGCCAGACATCCGATGGCAACTTCTTCCGCTATTAAACGAGCCACGCCCCCTTTTCACATGCCTCCTTTTTCAGTAGAGAAGTGTTCTTTTTTTTTTTTTTTTTGGTGGTTTGTTTTACAGAATTGTTGGAAAGACGCAATAAAAATTGACAGAGCAACAGAACGAAAGCGGATCACGCAAGCGGCGACAGCTTGGGCTGCTTGGCCGGGAGCAGCTGCTGCTGCTGCTGCTCCTCCGTCTCCTGCTCCGGCTCCTCCTGCGCCTGCTCCTGCTGTGCCGTTTTCTGACGTTGCTTTTTGTTCTGGTTACGATAGCTTTTGGGCAGTTTGTTGTCGCCAATCCTGCAAGAGATCAGAGCGGGCGGAGGGGGGGTCAATGGGTATATAATGAGTTTCTAGTGGAGCACCTACATGATGGTGGCGCGCGTGCCTGGTCCCCAGTGCGGCGCAGGGTTCTCCTGGAAGCGTGACAATGCCTGCTTGCGGCTGCTGGGATTGGCCGCTGGATGCAGCTGATCGAACTCGTAATCCTGGCGGCAGGGCTGCGAGAGAATCGCCTGCAGCGCTGTGCCCGGTATGAGGCGATTCTCGCGCACCGGATGCCGCTTGCTCCAGCAGCGCAGAATGTCCCAGAGCACGGCGGCGGGTGCGTCCGTTTTGAGGGAATTCTTGCTGGCATGCGAGTAGGAGACACGATAGCCGGCATGGAGCAGCGCGGAGCGCATCTTCAGCATGGGCACAATCTCCAGCTTGAGCACGCAGCAGAGCTTGTCGGGCGTATAGTAGAGCGGCACATCGGGCAGCTCCTCCAGCACCATGGACAGCACGCCCACCAGCCGACGCTGCGTGCCCAGCTGCAGCTGGTGCGTCGCCTCCAGCAAATGACGCACAAACTCCAGATTGTGTATGGGCGCCGACCAGATGGGACCGCCCAGATGATGCCTATGGCTGCAGTGCTCGCACTGCGCATTCACGGCCGGGCCCGTCGGTATGCCGAACTTGACCAGCTGCGGCTGATCCGCGGACTTGGTGCGCACCGTGCCCAGCGGCTGCAGGGTGAACGTCTCGCAGCCGGTGCACTGATAGATCCAGGACTGTTTGCTCATGCTGTACTTGCACTGGGCCTGGCCCGCGTGTATGCGCACAAAGATGCGCACGTAAAAGTCCGCCGAGATGCTGAGCAGCGGTTCGATATATTTGCCGTGCCGATTTGCGTGCGTTTCGATGCAGTGCAGCAGGATGCGTAGCGCCAGTTCGTGGCAGCATTTCATGCGCAACGGCACCGAGCCGTATTTGACGTAGCACGCCTCGGGCGCATTGCCCGCCAGGACGGCCATGTCGGTGGCGGTGACCAGGAGCAGGCCGCCGTCCACGATGCACTGCAGCGCGCCGTCCAGGAAGCGATTCGGGCAGCCGTACGGATCCAGATCGACGGCATCGAAGCGCTGCTGCGGCGCCGTCGACAGATACATGAGTGTCCTGCAAGAATTGGTTGCTTTAGTGTCCGGCATTAGGATTTCAATTGGAAGCTTACATGGCGTCCGCATGACTTGTTTCGATGAGATGCTCCACAGCATTGTGTTGCACATTGGTCTTGATGGACTCGACCGCCTGCTTGGACAGATCGTTGGCTATGATCTGGCGCACGCCCGCTATCTCCTGGGCGTAGCGTATGCTCCGGAGTCCTGTGGCCGCAAGCGCCTCCAGAATCCGCAGGCCGTCGGCATATTGTGTGCCCGCCGTGTAGCTGGACGTTGGCGGCGGTGTCTGCTCCGGCTGGCCAGTCTCCGCCGCTGGCTGTTGTTTCTGTTGGCGCTGCTGCTGCTGTTTGAGCGCCTTTGCGGCGCGCTCCTTGACCAAACGCTGGAAGTAAACGTTGAGCACGGCTATGCTCAGGTCGCGATTGAACTCCTGCACTGGGTTGTAGAAGACTTGGCCGCCGGATATGATATGCGCATTGCGCTCCGTAATTATGTTCGCATTCGGATTCGTTGGCACGGGCGGCGTCTCCTGCGGCACGTTCTCAACTTCCTCCACTTCCATTTCGCGCTGTCAACAACACGTTTTTACAACAGCGATGCGCAGCGGTCGATAACTTGTGGCGGCTAATCGATAACCAGGCAGTTGGCAACGCGACGCGCATTTATTTGCCACAAATTCAACAGCTATTAACAGCATAGCTGCAATATATTGATTTAAATCGTAGTTTAGTTTAAATAATTAACTAATTGCCGGTGCAGTCAAAAGTTTATTTTGTCCAGCTTCTCGTTCTGACCACTTTTAGCTGACGCAACGCCAGCCCTGGCATATCGTTAGTTGGCAACACTGGCTTGTAGCTGTCGTAATAGGCCGCTTGCATTTAGTTTTATTTAGTTTTAAAAATATGAATAAAATAACGCGTGCTTTTATTCGCGTATTGCAGCACAGCAATAATTCGTACGCGCTCCTCGGTCGCCAGCTATCATACAAAAGCGATTTGTCGCTGGACAAGATCTATCCAAATGCGCGCCTGCAGCTCTTCACGCCGCCACCGCCGCCGGTAAGTAACGGGATATATGCCGTTATTATATAAAAAGCGCGGCTAATTGAATTGATTTGCAGCCCGGAAACGGAGGCAAGTTCAATGGCTATATACCCATGGATAAGCTGGAGATCACGTACAGTCGCAGCTCCGGCCCGGGCGGCCAGCACGTGAACACGGTCAACAGCAAGGTGGACGTGCGCTTCAAGCTGGCGGAGGCACAGTGGATACCGGAACAGACGCGCCAAAAGCTGCTGCAGGTGCTGGCCAACAAGCTGAACAAGGAGGGCTACTACTTCATCAAGAGCGACCTGACGCGTTCGCAGCAGCTGAACCTGGCCGATGCGCTCGAGAAGCTGCGCACGATTATACGCGCCCAGGAGCTGGACGCCCCGACCGGACCCAGCGAGTTGACGCTGGAGAAGCTGCGTCGTCGCCAGGAGCGTGCGGCCAGACAGCGGCTGCAACTGAAACGCAATCGTGCCCAGATCAAAGCGGAACGCCAGGCGCCAAGCGGCATAGATTTTTAAATGATTTTTTTTTTTAAATTAACAAAAGTTTTTGTTACATAAACATTGTTCGGTACGAATGCACTTAGACTACTTGTGGAGCAACTCCTCTGCGGCCGGCGTCACCGTAAAGCGTGGCGCGGGCATCGCAATGACAGCGTCCAGCGGCGAATGCAGCTCGTGTCGATTCCCATGCGAGGGCATGCTTCCAAAACGCGGACGCTGCAAAGAGAGCGAAAAGCAGGCGGAGTTAATTAGCGAATTCGCAGGAAGCGCAGCATGTTGAGCTGCTCTGCTGCCGTCCTGCATTGGCTGGAGCTATCGAAGGTACAAATACCCCCAAAGAAACTTCCTCAAATGCGTTCACGCTTTCAACAAATTGTTAACTCTTTTGATACTAGGATCTGAACTTGGCAGGAACAAGCCTTTAAATGTAGCCCAAACCCTTTTGATGCTATCAGTTCCGCTTGAGAGCCGTCTCACCCAGGCCCAACCTATCTATTGTCTATTAAGCCTGAAGCTAGTCGCAGGAGAGGCACATGGAAGATCTATAACAATTTTCATACCAGTTGCTTTCTTATATGCTAAGCTCCTGTTCTGTCCCTTTTGATGCCAAGACATTTCATCAAGAACTAAATCCACATTTCCAGTCCAATCTGGCCTGCACAAAGGTCCCCATAAAAAGATTCCTACAACAATCTTTGCCCATTTTTATACCGGATGGAATCTTTCTACAGTTTTTTTTTGTTGGTGAGTTGAATCATCAAACTGTAAATCGAGGCTAAAATTCTGCTACTCCCAAGGTCAAATAAGATGCCAAGAGTTGACACAAGTCAAGTGCCGGACTCGCAGGCTTTTTGCCAGCATGTAGATTTTGCTGTTGGAGTCAGTTGCTCACCGGCGTTTGGGCGTCAGCGATGCGCAGCGTATTGTGCCGCTCGATGCTGGCGGGTGGCCGCCGCTCGGGCGGCTTTGTCAGTGTCTGCGTGTAGAGCTGCTCGAGGCGCTGGATGGCAAAGGCGGGCGGCAGCTGCGTTGAGAAGCTGTGCCGCATGCTACGCGGCGACCAGGTGTGCTGGTAGGCGGTCTCGTCCAGATGTCGCAGCAAATTGCCGTTGATGACCTGCTTGTCCTCCTTGGTCAGGTTGGCCAGCAGCTCGTCGATGAGCGCGGCATCGCCGCGCGACACCTTGATGTCGTGCATCCAGAACTGGCGATTGCTGCGCCCGATTACGGGCGCTATCTGCTTTACCTTGAGCACCAGAATGCCCATCAGGTAGACGCACAGCACATTGGAGAGCGTCAGGCACATGCTGATGCTGCCCAGCACGGCCAGCTCGGTGCCCTGATGCTGCGAGTACTTTCTCGACTTGACCACGTTCACGTACAGCGTGTCATCGTTCTCGTACAGCTTGTAGATGCAGGCTAGGGCCCAGAGCAGGCCCGAGTTAACCGCCGGCGGCAGCAGTGATGCGGATATGGCCACGCCCACCAGCGAACCAATATTACCGCCCAGTATGCCAATGGCAGCCGCCGCACCGGAAGGTATGGCCGTAAACAGACCCACGATCAGCGAGTGCAGATCGCAGCGTGACAGCATCTCCTCGGTGAGGCCCTCGCCAATGCCGTACTTCTTGTCCGTGGTGCACACGACCAGGCCGAACAGAAATCCCACCAGCGTTGCCAAGAGTATGCCAATCAGCTCGTTGCGCATGCCCAGCCGGCGCAGCGAGCGCTCCTCGATCACAGTGCCAAAAATGGCAGCGATAATGGGACCCATCAGCGGCGAGATCAGCATGCTGGATGCAAGGAAAATGGTGCTGTTCTCTATCAGTCCAAAGGAGGCCAAGGTGCTGCAAGGGTTGAGAACAAGGAGTGCATATGGTGGTTAGAAGGGAATCGAGAAGTCCAAGCGGAATGGGAGCAATATGTAAATGTGCTCCAAGGATTGCATGTGGCATGATATTGGAGTACATTGAATAAAGGGAAGTGCTAGCCATTTCGGAGGATTCTATAAATGCAGTGTTGTCTATCAACGCTCAGGGAACGAGGATTCCATGTGATATGCCATTGAATTACTAAGTAGAAAGGAAATATGGAAATATTATCTAAATCGAAGGATTATGTAAACGGACTAGAGAAACTGTTGGAATATCAGACTACCAGAATTGTGAAATATCTAGCTACTTTATCAAACAATTATCACAGAAAGGATCGGCCGATAAATTGACGGAATATCGTACTATACTATTCCATATGTGTGCCATGGAAGGAATCGATCGATCAGTGGACTTTTCTTCATATTATATTGCCACGTGAACAATCGATCGATATTTTAAATGCATTCGATATGATCCTATCGAAATTGGAGAACTTTGGAAATGGACTTTTCAAGATAGCTTCTGTGAACTGTCGGAAAATCGGACTACTATATAGATGGACTTTTCGGCGAACTATATACAATTGAATTTCTAGGAATATCGGACTACTATAACATATATATATATATATAACGGCAATAGGAACAATCCTTCAAATGGTAAGTTGAAAAATCTACCATTTTCTTATCAATATACATATTACAATATATAGATATATAACATCGATATATATATCTAAATTAAGCTTGACTCTAACGAACTCTACCCTGTCAATATCGAAAAAAGAGCAAGAAGCTTACAATGCTTTTGTATATGGAAAGAGGTTCTGTCTGTCTTTATGATCTTTACAATTGTTCTGGCATATCTGCCAGACCCTAAAGCCATGTGTCCACAAGGGCATTTAATCTTTGGCACGGACTCGTCATATCTTAGCCCAAGCTCGCACTAATTAGCTTATCTTATCGAGAACGAAACGCTAATGAGTTTTAGGAATGATTCGCAGCGGCTCTGATGGGTGCTTTGGGCATATGTTAGGGCATTTCGGGTAGTCCTTACGCTGCAGAGACGAGCAGGATGCAAAAGTCAAAGGTTATGGCCGCATCCTGGCGGACATCGCGCACAATTTGGGCCACGTTCAGGCGGGAACGCACCGAGTTCATGAATCTGTTCCAGGCGCCCTGCTTCTGTGCATTCTGATTGTTGTTGCTGCTGCAAAAAGAGTGCATGTTCACGTTAGCTGAGCTTGACTGTAGCAGCTTGAACGCAACTGTACTTACTCGTTGGGCGCATGCCCAGCCGCGGGCTGTTTGTCAGTTTCTGTGGGATAGGCTTTTGAGGCGATGCAGTTCATCACTGCAACAGAGGAGCCCTCCCGATCCCCAATGCCCCATTGCTGCAGTGCATCGTAGAGATTCTCGTAGACTTCATTGAACTCCAGCGCAAAGCTTATCTGATAGCTGCTGCCCTCCATGCTGCGCAGCCACAGCGCATTCGATATGCCAAATTTGCGCAATATCTGACGCAGCACGTGCTCCATGGCGGTATCCAGTGGCAGCTCCAACAGTTCCCTGCTCTCCGCAACATCTGTCAGCTGTGTTGGTAAACGTCCGCTGGTCCCGGCCCCGGCCCCGGCCCCGCCTACGCTGCTGTTTAAAAGGGGCGGCGACAATTGCTGTTGGCCCCTGCGTGACTCAAACAGCTGTTGTGATCTCTCCGGCTCCCTTGCCCCCTGCTCCTGCAGCTGACGCCTGTAGGCCTCCTTTAGGCGCTGCTCCTCGCTGGCCGTGGGTATTGTTATTGTGAAGAGTACGGCGGGTGCGTCCAACATTTTATTCAAATATTTGCTTATTTAACAAAATACACACACACACACACTTGTACATACATACATATACGCTCAGACATGCATACATATACACTTCTTACGCACACGTTATTTTGTAGTAAATAATCTTGGTTTTTTTTTCTGCGCACAAAATTACGAACGGGCCGTCGCACGTTTTAACAGCTGCGACGATCTTCTGTGCACTGGAAAGCGCATTTCATTTGGCGCCTTCTTCTTGTTGTTCTTGTCCGATGCATTCGCCTGATAACGGTTTTTCCTCAACGCTGTTAAATACACGTCTGTTACGGGGTATGTTAAGTGGCTCACACACGACACAAGTGGCTGTTAAATACACGTCTGTTACGGGGTATGTTAAGTGGGTCACACACGACACAAACGGCTGGCTGCATTGCGCTTGACTATGTTGTTGAGGCTATTTTCTATAACAGTTTTGACTCAACGCTGTTACACGTCTGTTAAGCGGTATGTTATATGCTTGACTATGTTGTTGAAGCTATGTTCTATAACAGTTTTGACTCAACGCTGTTAAATACTTTGCTGTTATTCGCTATGTTGTTGGGCCCGAACATGACACACATTTGACTGGCTGCATTGCGTTTAATTATGTTAACAGCAACGTACACTGTTAACTTAACATTTGCATGCAATTGTCAAAGCTGTAACGGATATTTGAATTTCATATCTAAAGCAAAATGTTTTCTCTGATTAGTTTTAATATTTCATATATATTTAAAATATTAGATTTTTTTTTATATTTTGTGTTATTTATTAGTTTAAAATATTCTGCAGCAACCGAACTGACAAAACTTGATTTATTTACAAATACTTTTGATAAACCCCGCATATTTACACACTAAATATGTAAAATTTAGAGTTAGGTTACAAGCTAAGCCTCTAGACTGACATTCATGAGCTCCTTGGTGATTTCGGCCCTGCTCTTTGTGGGCTTGCTGTTGCCCAAGGAGTTGGTGTCCTGTGCGAGCGCAGGCGGTGGCAACTTGAAGCCACGCGGCGGGTCCAAATTGGGAGTTTCAGCTGCAGGTGGCTGCTCCGTAGACGTTGATGGCGTCTCTTTTGTGGCCATTTTGTAGAGCAGCTGCAGCTGCTGCACTGCATCCGTTGCCAGGGCGGGTCGCGTGGGCAGCGCCAGCTTTGCGGTCTGCTTGTTGCCCGGCTTGAGCTTGGCCTTGGCCGGCTGCGGCTTCATGCCCTTGGACCAGGTCTCCAGCCAGCTGGCCGCCGTGCGCTCGGTGCTGGTCAACAGCTGCTGTTGACGCAGTTGCTCGCGTTGTTCGCTGGCGCTCACCTGGCGCTTGTTAAAGGACTGATCGTCCTTGCTGGGCTCACCGAGCGGACGGGTGTTCTTTTGCGGTCCCAGCTCGAGCAGCACCTGAAAGTCCGCATGCTCGCCCAAGCGAAAGCCAAAGCCCAGACGCGAATCGGTGCCTGTCAAGAGATATGTCCGCATTGAAGCTGGATTTATTATGGAATAACTATATACCCTATATAAACTGACCTTTTTTAATGGGCGGTATATTGGAGTAAACCAGGGAGAGCGCCGATTGTAGTTCCTGCGGCACTATAAAACCATTCACATTCTCAGCTGCCAAAGAGAAATTAAATTAAGAGATTGAGAAAAATCAAATTACTTAATTTCAGCTTGATAAACCTTTGTCAGATTGTTTTCAGAAAAATAAAAGAGAAAAGTATGATAAAAAAGTACGCTGGTTCGAATCTCAAGCATTGCATTTGGCGCTGTTAATCACGTTGCATGTTAAGGGGCCCACACACGACTCAGCTCTGTTAAACATATTGCTGTTATGGGGACCATACACGCACTTTGCTGTGACAAGCACGCGCAACTATTACCTTTTAATTACATTTAATAATAATCTCAGGATAAATCTTAGCCAAGGCATTCTTAGATCTTATAAATATAGATATATAGATCTATAAAAAAATCTTATGTATGGACACACAAGAGATAAGTACTATGAAGCAGGATGCCGGTTCGAAGCGCAGGCACCTGAAACTGCTTGTAACTATATCCGATAACTTTTATTATAATCTCAAGATAAATCTGAACTCTATTAACTAACTAATCAACTATTATCTTCAGTTAGTAAGTCTTAGATCTTGGTTCAACTCCAAATGTGCTAATTTCCAGCTGTTTTATTGCGCAACAAACCAATTTTAATGTGCTCAGTTTTTTTGGGCTTGGTATGCTGTTCGTTTATTTTGACAGCTTGATATGCAGCCGACCTGTTTGTTATGCGGCAATTAAATTTGCTGCTGTTTTTTTTTTTTAAAACAAAGTTTATAGGTCTATGATGAATGTGGGAATATTGTGTAATACTTTAGGAAATTAAGCGGCGTCGCCCGTTCAAATGCACAAGTTGGAAATATTCACTTGGTATGAAATTCTTTCTCGTAAAATTGTAATATTTACTTATTGCTGAATACAAAAATGTAGTTTGATAAACGAGTTATACAAATTGCAAAGGGCTGCCAGATTTGAACTGGCGACTGCACGCTTCTTGGCTCGACGTTTGCACATCTTTAGCTTCAACTTGGAGCTCGTAATTTCCAAAGCTTCGGTTGAGATTCAACTTTCTTAAACAGGAGATATTCAATTCTATCAATACTTCAACTAGCCCAAAAGGATATCGAATATTTCAATATGCTAGAGTGCATATTGGACATCAGAAAATATATAGCTCATACGGCTTTGTAGTATTATAATATACAAGAAATCGTATTATATATTTCTCCCTGACTCACAAAAAATAATTTTTCTCGAATAAAGTCTTGGAGTACAGGAATGAAGGCTCTCTTCGAGTCAAAAAGGAACAAGTCATCTATAAGTTTTTAAGCTTATTATTCACAATCATAAAAGTACTTAAACTTGTTTTGGTTCAGGGTCAGGCGCTGCTTTGCTAAGTGCAAAAGTGCAAACCCCTTTCGAGAGAACTGACCTCTCACAAAAATACACAAATGATGTTTTTGAACCTCAAGACTGTACTTTGATCTAATATTCTACACGGCAAATCGCTCAAAATTAATGAAGCAATAATGAATTCAATTCGAGTGGCTCGCCATAGACAAGAGATAGCTATGTGTATATAAATTTATAAGACACGAGAGAGTCGCTGACGACCTTGACACAAAGACCGGCAACAGCTTTGGACTGAAACGAGCTGCGGTCTGGTCAGGTCTGCGTTTGGGTCTGCGCTTGGGTCTGATCTGTGCCAGACCAAAGTCTACAGTTTGGCTTCGCTTGGCTAGTTGTCGGACCGGTTATTGCAGAGGCATGAATTCAATTTTGGTTAGTCTTTGCTTTTGTAAATGTGGAGATACACTCAAAGAAACAAGAGGTGTATACTGATTGAAACAAAGACTTCTGTTTGACGACTTCTGTTAGGCTTCTGTTAAACAAAGACTTCATTTTCATAATATCGATAACTATCGATTGTAAGTTATCGTTTCTTGAGCATATATTGAAGATTTTAATAGCTAGCTACAACAAATTTGGTATGTCGGTTGTCTTATATAAAACATAGATAAAAAATGATTCAATTTTTGTATACCCACCCCCGTTTCTATAATAAGCGAAAAATACTCATTCTTGCGCCGTGGTATATACACAGTTTTATATGAAATACTTAAGCACTGCAAATTTCATAAAGATCGGACTATAAGCAACAGAGTTATTAGAGAATGCATTTCCCATAGATAGGGTGGAGGAAAAGGAAGAAACAGCTGGAAGAGTGTGTGTGTGTGTGTGAGTGTGAATAATTGTGTGTGTGTGTGTGAATCTATCTATCTATCTATCTATCTATATACATATATATCTATCTATCTATCTATCTATCTATCTATGTATCTATGTATCTATGTATCTATGTATCTATGTATCTATGTATCTGTCTAACTATCTAACTATCCATCTATCTATCCATATCTGTCTATATATCTATCTATCTATCTATCTATCTATCTTTGTATCTATGTATCTATCTATCTATCTATGTATCTATGTATCTATGTATCTATGTATCTATGTATCTATGTATCTATGTATCTATGTATCTATGTATCTATGTATCTATGTATCTATGTATCTATGTATCTATGTATCTATGTATCTATGTATCTATGTATTTATGTATCTATGTATCTATGTATCTATGTATCTATGTATCTATCTAACTATCTAACTATCTAATTGTCCATGTATCTATCCATATCTATCTATATATCTATCTATCTATCTATGTATCTATATATCTATCTACCTATCTATTTATCTATCTGTCTATCTATCTATCCATCTATCTATCTATCCATCTATCTATCTATCTACCTATCTATCTACCTATCTATTTATCTATCCATCCATCTATCTATCTATCTATCCATTTATATATCTACCTATTGATATATCTATCTATTTATCTATCTGTCTATCTATCTATCTATCTCTCTCCCCATCCATCTATCTATCTATCTAGCTGTGTTCTAGGTTTCGTTTCTGCTCGGGCACTTTCAAGTAAGGAACTCTTATAAAATGTATTTAAGAAGCGCCAATATTTTCTCCCAGTGTACTTACATTGCAGCAGGCAAAGCAACAGCCAGAGGCTAACAGTGAGCGGCAGTTGTTTTGGCCAAAACATGATCAGCTGTCGAAGTCTTTGTGGCTAGCATTTAGCGAAGTAGCAGAAACGGTGTGTCTAATGTTAAGAAACTGTAAAATACACACACACACAAATACACACACACACGATTACAACATTTGGCTAAAAGTGTGGCGGGTTTTGGCGGCTTTTGGGGCTGGTCAGCGGTGCGTCATATGAAAAGGTATTTCAACTATGTCCCAAAAGCTGCGCCGCGTCGCGATATGCAAACCGTTTGCCTTGTGGCTTCAATAAAAAGCGTCAACAGAAAACAGAAAATAAAAAACCGAAAAAAAAAACGATGGCAAAAAACTGTTTGGAAATCACTCTCACTTTTGTTCAATGTGCCTTTTCTTGTTGTTGTTGTTTCATTTTTTTTTTCGACTGTTTTTGTTTTTGTTTAGGTTTTGCCAACAGCGTCAATGCGCTCCATGTGTTGTTATACCCTTGCAGTGGGTATTTTAATTTCCAAAGGCGTTTTGTAAAGGCAGCTCCTTGATTGGATTTGACTATTCGATATAGAAATGGGTGATGTGAATGGGTTCTGATGTGCCTCAATCTGGTTGAAACTTGATGAACATTTGTCTTTTTGCATATCTCAAGCCCGGTTAGATTTGATTACCATAGCATATAGTTTCTGTACTATTAATAGCTTGAAAATTGGGTGCTTGTAGAATAAAAATAAGTCGGTTTTTTTCTCAGCAAAATCTCATGTGCATCTGTTTTCCTATATTCTCTGCGATCTCGCGTATGAAATCCTGGTAATAAACGAAGTTTTTTCTCATAACTCATAAATCTTTTAATATATTTGTTCAACAGACTGAACTGACTATAAAGAGAATCTCAACTGAACACTGTAGCTTGTGTAGGAAATCTTGTTGATACTCAGCTAAGAAATCAATTAATATATTTTAGTCAAAGCCTTTAATAGAGAGCTCCACGCGTACTGCGGATATTTAAGATTGAATCTACTGTATATAAATTAAATTTTCTGTTTTCATTTGATATGCCCATGTCTGCAAGGGTATTTAAACTTCGACCTTGCCGAAGTTGACGCTTCTTGTGGCTTTTTTTTTTTGGCTTAATTTCAACTATTTGTTGCGGCCTTGTCTTGAGCGTTGTTTGGTTTTGTTTTTGGAATTTTGTAACTCTTATTTGTATATAAGTATTTTATTTTATGGCTGTAAATTTGATTTGCACTTTTTCTACTTCTTAAAATGTTGCTAATCAACGGCGCAAATAGCGTTGTTTTTGGTTGAAAATGAAAGCGCGCGCGCGCGTTTTCGTTTCAAGTTGTTGAAAACAAATTTTCGTTTCGATTTCAATTTCGTTTTGAGCCCAAAAATAAATACTGTGCCCCTTTTACACCAGCCACATACAAATGGCCTCATAATGCGAGCTTAGGCTTTGCTTACATTTGTGTGTCTTGATTTTATTTATTTTTATTTGTATTTTTATTGAATTTTATTTTTGTGCGCACATTTTGGTTTCGCTTTGACAACCTGCCCGGTTCGCGGCTGCGGCACAACTGAAATGGAGAGTGGCACAACTTGCAACACGGCCTCAGCCCCAGTTCAGGTGCCAGCTTCAGATTCGGCTTGAGCTGGGGTGGAGCGCTCGTAAAACATCACGTAACACGCGCATACCCTGTAGCTGCTGGGTAAGCAACAGGGCATAATAGCTGGGTGCACATGTATGTCACAGACAGAATTGATATGCTTCTGGTTTAAAGTATTTGCCAGATAAGCGAGTTAGTTCGTCTCTTATTTAGCTTTTATCTGCTTTACCATGTTATCGATAAATATCGATTTTCAAGGCTTTTTTCTAAGCTTATTTTCGAGCTTAGAGCTACAAACTGGAAATAATAACTATATATTCTTATGGCTTATCCATTTTCGATATCCACGCCATTTCCGGCTAGCGATAAATATCGATTTTGAATCAAGTTATCCTAAGCATATCGCGTAACTTATTAAAGCTAGCGACTGCTTTCCTTTTTTTCGATATCTATCATTTTCTTCATTATCATTTTCACAATTATTTTATTCATATACCGTACATTTTTTAATCGAGAGACTGCAAGGTGGAAAGATATAATTGTGTAGTTCAGCTTCTCCATAAAATCGATAACTATCGATCATCAAGCTTTTTGGTTCTTATCAAGGTTTTTTGGAGCACATCACGCAGATTGTAAGTGCTAAGTCCTAGTTAATTTTTTCGCTCTCACTTTTATCATAAAATCGATATTTATCGATTCGTAATCAATGTGTTTTAAGCAGTCCTCGTGTATTGTTAGAGCTGGCATGTAGGCTTACACATGGAGTAGATGGATACTTTCCATTATAAATACCTCGCTTCTTTACTCGTACGGCAACTTGAGGCTGATTACAGGGCATCTCCTAGTCAGTCACTTGTCATAGTTTTTGTTGCATTATCTCCGACGCCAGCTTCAGTTTCAGTTTCTTCTCTGAGACCGGCTCTTGCGCTCGAGCTCGGCGCACTTGGCTTCACATGAGCACCGCTCTGATCTGCTCTGCTGGGGCGTGGCAGAGCTCCGCAATTACCCGCACTCGCAACAGGTATATATTTATATATATGTAATCATGTCGTACCTGTGGTAGGTGTCTGCGGCGTGTGAAAGGTTGTGACAGGCGTTTTGGCACAGTCCTGCGCCGACTTGGCCGCTTTTCCATAATTGAATCATTTTTGCTGTGGACGCAGCTGTTGGCCCATTTACCGAGTCGATAATGATTCACTCGAGTTAAGATTGGCATTGATGAAGAGGAAGACAAAAGCGCGCGATTTATGTTGAAAGTCTCGAAATGTAATTGTGGACTTTATGTTAATGTCAAAATATGCGTAGTTAAACCCACGATAAAAGTGTTAAGTAAATAAAGTAGATGTCAACATTAAAGAGATTGATCCAGTTGCGGTTGATTGACTAGAAGATACCCTGTAACGAGTAAGGAAAAATCGCGCGATTTATGATGAAAGTTGCGCAAGGTGGACTTTTTGCCAATGTCAAAATAGAAAGAAGTAGATATTAAAGGTAGTTTTACTGGGAGATACCCTGTAGCTAGCATATATTTGTAGTTAAATCAATCTATATAAGTATTTCTTTTCTCTTCTTGCTTCCGACTTTCAAGTTCATTGAACGCTTTAATCTTATGCATTTAAAGCTTAGCATATTATTCAAGCAAAAAATGCTTTACTGTACAGTGAAGTTTGGAGCTGAAGTTTTGCATAAGCGACTATTAAGCCGAGCAGCGAGACAGACTGTGAAACCTTGAACGCCCACCTAAGAGCTTATGCAGATGAGCTATGTTTGACATTTGGCTGTAAAACCTCATGTTTAATTAGCCAAGACAAAGTGTTATGCAACACACACACAGAGGCAGACACAACTGTTAAGCTAGAGAATTGCTGTCTGTATTGAACCACAGCAAATGGCCGGAGTAAAGACGTAGACGCAGGTCAATGCATGAATGGCAAACAATTGGCCAACAGCTTTTGGCCATAATTGTCAAAGCGTGGCTAACTAATGTTTACTTCGGCCAGCACGTCGTTAAAGAGATTTTCAAGTGTTGACGATTTTACTGCATTTGCAAGTTGTCTAGTTGCAGGCGTGAAAAAGTGCGAAAGTTTTGACTACAATAAATGCATAGATATTTGCCTTAAATAAACTATTAAATCAGCCCATTAGGAGTCGTGCATATGTCTGCGAAGGCAGAGTATAAGATCATCTATTTAATAAGCTCTACTTCGGGAAATGTTAAAAAGCGTTGCATGCTTACAGGCGGCCGCTGTAATGTTTAACAGCTGCTGTTAAGCTGCTGTTATGTTAAGCCTGAAGCCGCGCTTTAGCTGTTAATTACAGTGCTGCCAACTTTCGCTTGATTTAAGTCAAAAAAATCGATCAAATCGAATAAAGCAAAAATAATGCTGTCAAACATTAAAAGAAGTCGCTCGAGTTATGGGTACGGGAAATTTTGGCCAATATTAGAGGGTACTATTTTCACATGAATTATTATCAAAAACAGCGTTGCCAGATTTAAATGCCAAATTGATTTAGAGGCCAAGCCATAGAGAACAAAACAAATCTCGTGAAAATCGGATGAGATTTGAACGAGTTATGTTCATGGGAAATTTTGACCCATTTTATGTAGGATATTTTGCACACAAACGTTTTTCGCGATATTTCGATACTTGCGGGTGGAGTTTCCCGATTAATTGAGCTTGTCATCTGCAGTTTGCAAAATTAAGGAGCGTTTGTCATAGCCATAATTCAATATTATCGTAGCGCCATAAAATACGCGATGAACCGATTAAATGCCGCAAATTTGACGAACTAACATTTCGTTGCTTTTTATAGTTTCTTATGGCATAGACATGTGCAGCCTACATAGGTCCGATAAATTCATATTTATAATTCAAGCGGTTGCCAGCCAAAAAAAAGTAAAGTAAATTGGGTAAATGCTAAAATAAATAAAGAATGAAATAAATGTTAAAATAAAAATAGAACACAATAGTAAGAATAGTTGAATATGCATATTATAAAAAATATATGTCTTAAAAATGACTAAGAACTCAAAGAGTTTCTTAATGAAAAAAGATAATTTTGGCTGTATTTAACAGCTTTTTTTCTATCAAAAATGGGCAGCACTGCCGATCAGAAAAGTTTTGTTTGGGCCGCTTGGCATCATATTAAATTAAAAAAAACTTAAACCAAGTCCATATGGAAAACAAGTTCTTAAGTTCATTTAAAATTATTGTTTTTTAATTTTTTTTTATTGATTTTTATTGTTCTTATGGTTTTTGTTTAGAGCTAAAGCGCTAATTGTATAATAACAAATTAAATAACTAAATTTTTTAAAGTTTACATTCAACATTTAGAAACCAATTGATTTTTTTTTTTAAATAAATTAATACGAGAGCGATATTAATTTAAATATTATTTTTTGATAATTATTAATCGTACATAAAACATATAACAATTGTTTCACAGTTCAGCGACATTTTTGTATAATTATTATATTTTATTTTTATTTTTAATAATTATATTTTACATTTATAATTTAATTGTTCTTCGTGTTTTGTTTTTAGTTTTTCTTATATATTTTTTTTCTTATTAGACTACGCACTACACTAACAACGATGTGTAAAAATAAATGTGTTTATTTTTATTTTATTTTATTTTATTTCTTGTCTCGTATATTTAGCATACTCAGAGTATGCTGCTTGTATTTAGAAATTGGTTGTGTTTTTTTTTCCTGCTTTTTCGATTCTCTTTTCTTTCGAACTGCAGCTGATATTTTCATTAGTGTCGAATGTTTAACATTTTTTTTTTTATTTTTGCTGTAGGTAACGAGGTAAAGTGCGCCTTGTTCAAAAATCGACACAGTCAATTCCATGCCGCAAATGTTGTGTTGGGTGGAGAGGGGGAGGGTGGGGGGGATGGGCTTTTATCAATGCCACGCGAACAACGAATGCGAGACCAATAAATAGCCCGTTGTCACAATTATGCTGCCAATCATAATGGGAAAACCAACTCTGTTGAACAAAAGAAAGCAAGAGTTTATTATTTATTTAAAGCTTTAATCAAATAGCAGGTTGTAGAGTTCTACAACTTATTTAGCTAATATATGTCTTTAGTTCTGCGTTTAGCTTTGATTTAAAGTGAAAGCTTTAAGTTGAAGCTCCTTGAACTTTCCAGAGCTTTGGCATGAGACTATTAAATTAAATGACGAGCGATATATAGAGCTTAAAGCTTTAAGTTAGTTTATTGTCATTCACTTTATGAGCCCTTAAAGCTTTCAAAAGCTTTAATATGGGACTATTAAATCAAAAAGCGCTTTAAGCTTTTGGAAGTTATTAAAAGTCTCCTTTTTGGTCACACTCTACACTAATACACATATATTAAAATTAACTTCAATGAATTTGTACTCACTTGAAAAACTCGAGGAATGTGAATTTATAGCCATGTTGCTCGGCAACGCCAGCACAAACCACATTCGCCGAGGCGCCAATCAATGTGCCATTGCCTAGCAGAATATATGTATATAAAACGAAAGTTAAGCAACAATTGGATAGGCACTTACCGCCCAGACAGGCGCCCAAGGCGAGTGCCCAGACCAATGGCTGCAGCGGCAGGTTCAGGGTGCTATTCTGCGCCAGGGAAATTGTGATCTTGACCATCATCGTGGTCAGCGGAATATTGTCCACGAAGGCGGATGCCACAGCAGATACCTATAAAAAGGCAAATAAATCAAATATAATAGATATAGGGCTCTCTCTCTGATCAATTTTCATTCTAAATTTGAACCGGCGACTTTTTCTTTGCTAGTTCGACGCCCACACATCTCAGCCACGCAGGCTCAGTTGGATTTCTTGACCTTACATACCCAGATTATTATCAACATGGCTCATACTGAAGTTGAACCAGCAACCTTTCGCTTGCCAGTTCAATGCTCTCAGCCACACAGGCTTTGTTAGTTTTTTTTTTGGTCCTTACTTACCCAGAGTATAATCAATATGGCCACCATCAAACGTCGATCCTCGCCCACGCCCAATATAATGCCCTCCGTCATATTGCCGATCCATTCGATCAGGCCCAGCTCTGTCAGCGCTTCCATAAGTATAAAGAGCGCGGCAAAGAACAGCAATGTGGACCATTCGACACGCGCCAATATCGCCTCCAGATCCTCAATGTCTGCCAATATTATTAGGAATATGGCGCCTAATAGGGCCGTCCAGCCCAGGGAGAGACGCTGCAGTTCCGGCACCGAATGCAAAAAGAATAAACTGATCACAAAGATCAGTGCGGCGGTGCACTTGACCAGCAGCTGCTTGTTGCGAACTGGATACTAGAGGAAGAAGGGGGAGAGATATTGTCAATATCGCTTGTCCTTAAACATTAAACTAACTAATAGATAAAAAGAGATTAACATAAACTAAAGCGATATTTGGAAAATTAATTAGCAAATATTTGTCTGAATGCAGATCTGTAATTTTCAGCCCTAGTCAATTCGATCTCGCTTAAGAGTATTTATACTTTGCTCGTCCAACTGTTTCAACTTATCCCAGAAAGTAACCTCCCTAAAATTTCGTATATTGTGAACTTACCTTTGCCTGCAGATTGGCCAGGGTTTGTTCGTAGTTGGGCGCCGGTTCAATCACAGCTGTCATGCGTTTCTTGAGGCTTCGTTTAAGGCGATTGACTTTCTTCATTAGGGTCTGACGCACCAGCTCCTCGTCCTTGGAGTAGGCCGAAAGGCTGGCAGCCGCACGCTTCCACACGTGTATCTCATGGCGCAGCTCTTCCACCTCGGCCGAGTCCTTGAACTGCAGATCGCTGATGTTGCGGAACTTAAAGCGTAGTTGTATATATGTTTGGACCATGACCAGAAGGACACCGGGCAGCATGTGAAGCGTGAAGACAGCAAAGTTAACGCCCTGTAAAAAGATTTATTGAATTATCGAGAGTTGCAGGGGATGAGGAATAATTCATTCGGGTAAATTCGGGTAATTCATTTGAATCTAGCTCGAATACTCAATTGTATTAATCGAATCATTCATCAAACCCGAACAGATTCATTCAAACAAAGTTTGATCTGCAACATGTTCGAGCTAATATAATGTGAGACAATACAGAAAATGATTACTTCGAGCTTCGAACCTTGATCGATTAAATAAATTGTTCGAGTATTTGAATAAACGAAGTTCGATGTCCAACATGTTCGAGGAAATATAATGTGAGGCAAAAATGATTAGTTCAAACTTCGAATTTTGATTGACCGATGTTTTGAGCTAAAATAATGTGAGACTACAATGATTCGAACTTTGAGTATCCAAAACACGTGACGTTTGACTGGAGGCAGGGATCTAGTTATGACTTGGGAATACTCACATTCTTGGATATGTAGCTATTGGAGGCAATGATCACATTGGGCGGATCACCGACGGGCGTCAGAGCACCGCCGATGTTCGAGTAGATGACCATGCACATTAGTATGGGCACCGGATTGAGGGACATGACCTCGCAGAGGCGTATCGTAACCGGAGTCATCAGGAGCACCGTCGTCACGTTGTCGAGGAAGGAGGAGAGCACCGCCGTGAACAGGCACAGGCAATTGATAAGCGGCCAGACATGCCCGTTGGTTATCTTATACGCATACACGGCCAGATAGTCAAAGACGCCCGTCTCGGAGAGTATGGCCACCAGAATCATCATGCCGAAGAGCAGCAGCAGGGTCTCCACATCAATCCAGCCCATAATGGTGGCCATGGAGGGTCGAGAGTTGAGCGCGGCCAATATGCCGACGGATAGCGTTGAGGCAATGATTGCGGCAAAGGTGCGATTCACAATCTCCCAGATGATCATCACATAGAGGCCGCACAGTACGGCGGCGGCATAGAGCACACCATGTCGCTTGTAGATGGGCGACTCGTCCACATTCAGCTGGAGCGGCAGCTCGCCCTCGATGCTGCTGGTCAGCTCGAAGCTGAGCCGGGTGCTGTTCGCCTGGGCCAGCCACGTCGGTTCGCCAGGCTGCAGCTCAAAGGTGTGCGTCTTTTTCGTATCCTTGGTGGCATCGATTAGCTCAAAGTACACAATATCCAGCTGCCACAGCTCGCTGGCATGCTCCGTGTAAATCTCCTGGCCCTGGGCATCTAGGTAGCTACGTGTCACCTGTATCTGCAACACGGGCAGCGGCACGCTCGCGTTCAGCTGCAGCTCGTTCTCCTGCAGCCGGAAGGGTCCGCGTAGGCCCAGTCCGATGCGCTCCAGCGAGGCTGTGCTTATGGGAAAGACTGCGAAGAGAAGGAAATGAAAAGTAGAGCTAATGTCCAGACGAGACTCAGGCAATGATTTGTCACCCACCTCGCGTGGAACTGTTGCCGGGCACACTGATGAGACTCAACTGATCTACGTGCTCGTTGTTGGACATGAGAAAGGCCGTAAACACGCACCAAATCACCAACAGCACCGATATCTTGAACCAAATCAGATACTTTTTCAGCTGCAAGTAGATGAAAGACAGCCAAGTTACATTACGTTTTCCAAAGTTATCGATATTTACTTTATTATATGAAGAATCGATTCTTCCACTGCAATACATATTCAATTCAGCCCAGGAAAATCATTATTGATCGGATTTTAAAGTCCGATATTTATAAACTCGAAGACTTCCCGGTTTTAAATGGAATGGATTGGTTTACACTCTTAGCTATACTACATCTCAATTTTGGTGTCTATAGCACTTATAGTTCTCGAGCTATGCGCTCCGAATCTATATTTATCTATATCTCGTTAATGGGTTAAGATATTGACACAAAATTGAAATCTAGTACTGCCTTTGGTGTACGAAATTATTATTTAAAATTTCAAGTCTGCAGCTTTTATAATTAACGAGATCCTTCAGACAGACTGACATACAGAAAGAAGTTCTTGGCTGGATCGAGACAGCTCTTCGGGATATTCCTTGTATTGAGTTTCTCTTCGTGAAATCTTAACTGTTCTGTAGAAAAACCATGGTTCGATTCTTGTTTCGCAGAGATATATTATTTCTATCCTTTGTATTGAGAGTTTCCCAGCCGCAACCCACTTACGCTGCTTTTGCAGTAGGCATCGTTATCCTCGTGCTGATCCTCGTTGTTGTTCTCCAGGTCCCTAGAGGTGCGGGGGTATCACAGAAAACTGGTTGCACTAATTACGTAACTGACAATCGAGTCTAACAGAACTACGAACCTGCCGTCCAGGACATGCACCTGCCCCGCCTCGTTCGTCACATTGATGCCAATCTGTGTGAATGCGTGCGCGTCCTCCGTATGTCCATTCAGCTCGTGCTCCTCCCGCTCCATCTCCTGCTGCACGTCATCCGAGGGCATGGGCTCCACATCTACAACAAATGTTTTAGCAATTTATTCAGCTTCAATATCATGTTGCCGGTCAGAGGCCAGGCCAGGCAAAGGGCAAATGGATGTGCGTCAGCCAGGAGTTTGCTTTGACTTTGTATTATATCATTTTATCAGCAGCTAAAAATACCCTAAGCTGGCCCTGAACAAAGCAATTGACGTAAAGGATATGCGACAGCAATTCAATTTTTCTCAAATATCTCAATCAGTTTCTCTCAACATATCACGGAAGTCGCAAAGGCCGCGCATTAGCATCAGCATTAGCATTGGTATTAGCTTTGGCATTAGCATATTGTGCCAGGTCCCAAAATAGTAGTTGCATCCATTAAACCATTTAAAATCATAAGCATTTGAGACAAGTTGCGCAAATTGCGCAAATTTAAGTTGGGACGGGCAAAAAGAAGAACTTGGGAGAATAAACAAACCTGAGCCTGCGGCCAATGTCAATGCCGAGTCTGACACAAATCACAATAAAAAATGCAACAATAATTACAGCAATAAAAAAAAAGTACCAATAAAAAAAAAAAAACGAAACAAAAAAAATTACACGCTTTATAGAAAATTGTGCATTCAGCTAGCCGAAGACCTAATACGCTTGACAAAAGGTATTCAAAAGAATTCTTTGAAAGAAATTTGTTACAAAAGTTAGGAAAATCTGCTTAAATTTACTTATTCATATGATACAAACTCTTCTAAAAACACTTTAACGACAATTCTAGACCCTAAAAAAGCAATTTATCGAAAAACAATTGTTATCGATAACATGGCCTTTCTTTATATAATTATTATATTTATAAATTAGATAAATATGTTTTGCTCCAAGGACCTCAACAGAATACTATTAAACATACTTATCGATAATATATTGAATAATAATAAACATGCCTATCGATAACATATCGATAATGGGAAAAACGTTGGCAATGCTGGAAATTGATTGCTTTACTCCATAAGCTTTAAATTTCTATGGACATATTTCTAATGCGTGGACATAAACGCGACACACACACAGAGAGCATATGATTGAGTACAAGGGAGACAAATGTTGGGTAGCATTAAAATAAATATATATATAAAACAAAAAAAATGGCAAAAGGTGGCTTTGTCCAATGGCCCAAAGACAAGCACTTACCGCCATGTAAACGCTCGTGCTCCTGCCGGAACGATGCTAGGCTGGGATCCTGTCGTATGCGTTCGGGCAGCGCCCGCCACACCTGTAAGGCACCTTCTGTTACTTCGCTGCAGGTGTGTGGAATGGGGAGGGGGCAAGTCCATAAGTTGTGGGTTAGCAGCACGTTGGGGAGCCATGAAAAAAACGGTAGAGAAAAAAAAGAAAGAGACGTACAGATTTTATAAGATTACTTGACTTTAATACAAATACGCATATAAATAAGCAACAAATTTGTTTTCTCAGGTGTGTGGGCGTGACCAGGTGCGTGTCTCTTCCCTCCCCCGCACTCTCTATTCAATAAGCTGCTTTGTTATTGATTTCATTTGTGGTTGCGTTCAACATATTTGTAAATTCTATTTGACTTTCGGTAAAACGCACTTTAAATGCTTTCTAACAACGGAGGGTAGCGGAGTTTGCTCATGAGCCGGAAATTCGATTGTGGTTTTTGGGATGCGCATTGTCAAGGTGATTGACAGCGACCCAAGTAGGGATTTGGCCAAAGGATGCGATTTCAGCGAAATCATTTAAATCAGTTTGAGCGGAAATCAAAGGGTTGTCCATTAAAGGTTCTAAAATCTAAGCTCAAAGATTATAAATGCCAAAATACAACAAGAGCTGTGCATGAAGCGGAATAGAAATACTTCACTTTTTGTTTATCTGCCGCGTATTTCACGTATTCAAGAAAAACCTTCCACCTAGTTGGGTGGATTTTACAAAAAGTGTGAAACAAGTCTTTCATAAATGTTAGCATGGATTTTAAGATAATCTTGACAGGTTTCAACAGAATAAACAAGGGAGTTACCGACTAGAGGATACCCTGCACCCTTTTCTACCAACATCAAATGTAGCTCGAGCTTTAGTCTAATTTTTTTGCTTCTGTCTAATTTGGTGTTTCAAGCTGATCAAGAACATATATATATATATTTCAAGGGGTCGGAGATGGTCTCGTCTGCCTGTTACATCCATTTGCACAAATATATTAGAGGTAGAGTCTTGTGTCTTGGTATGAGAACAGTCTGAAAGTCTGAAATTTCATAAAGATCGGACAATAAAGTCCGAACTTAATCAAGAATCGCATTTCTCATAGTAAGCGGAGGCAGCATATTGTATGTGAAATAAATTATTTGTATGAAAATGTTGCCATAATAAATAATTAGCTGTTTGTTATGAAATTGATCAACAATTGATTTGCATTTCATTTGGCTAATTGCAATATTTATGCACATATATGCAAACGAGCCCAGATTCCAGCTTGAAGGCCGACTGCTCCGAGCTCGGATAAAAATCTTACAAAATATTGCAATTCTTATGCAAATTGTGTGCCGAGAAAAAAAAAGAAGAAAGAAAAGAAAATAAAACCCCGAGCGAGGCTAAATCAAAGTCATGCAAGAGAGACACGAGCTTCTAATTTCAAATGGGCTTGATTAGGTGGCACTTAATTAAGGCTAAACTTTAAGGTCAGGCGGCAAAATTGTGGCCCAGGCAGCAGCTGGGCCAAAGTGGAGCTAATAAGTCGTCGTCGTCGTATCTGGTAAATGGGCTATTCAATTACAACTTAAATGCGAGTTTAATGACATTTTCGAGCAATTAGATTGCCAGCCCAGCTGGCACATTGAAAAGAATATCATTAGAATCATTTTGAATGCACGCTGGACACACTTATTTACTCACAATATTCACACCCAGATTTAGCTGCACTCACAATACTCACACTCACATTTAGCCATACTCACATTACTCACACTCACATTTAGCCATACTCATATTACTCACATTCATATTTAGCTATACTCACAATACTCACACTCAGATTTAGCTATACTTACAATATTCACATTTACATTTAGCTATACTCACAATACTCACATTCACATTTAGCTATATTCACAATACTCACACTCACATTTAGCCATATTCATATTACTCACATTCATATTTAGCTATACTCACAATACTCACATTCAAATTTAGCTATACTCACAATAATCACACTCATATTCATTCGTTCACTCGCATCACGTGCGTCTGTTGGACAAATGCAATTTGTGGACTCGAGTCAAGTGGTCAGAAATCTTAATTTAGTTTATTTAAATGCCGCTTAGTTCGCATTGGCTCAAATGGAACAAGTCATAAATTATATTTAGCTAAATTTAGCTTATGACTTTGCACGCAAAAACAAAGATAAATAAATAAAATAACCCAAACTGGTTCCATTTGTTTCGTTCTACTCGCATATCCCTCACATTTGATCTGATCGCTCTTGAGAAAGTCTGGAGGCACAACCTGCTAAATTGCCCATCATTTTGACTAAGCTTCAGATATGTCTGTATATCTATTATAGCGCATCATGTTTATTGGCTTGAATTTCAGTGCCGCAAATCTAGTCAAATTATAATGCACTTGGAATAAGTTAAATGGGAATATTATGCGAGTGTACTATCTGGATTTGCCTGACATTGACTCGACAAGTCTTTCTCTTTTATTTTAAGCTTACATTTTATCTAGCTTTTATGCGATTTGATATACTGAGATGATAATTAATTGGCCATTTCATCTACTTTATGGAGTAAAACGACAAAATTGGAGCTCAGATTCGAATGAGATATTTATGGGTGCAAAATTGAATACTTCCATTTAAAAGCATTTCACTTAATTTCTAACCTTGCTTTTTTTACGTTTTTTTTTTTTAATTCCTTAAATATTAAGCTTTGATTCTTATCATTTATTATCATTATAATCAACCTGAGTTCTTGACGGGTGACGGCCTTCGCGTTTTTTGAATAAACAGCTTTCACCTTCATGGGTGGATTTTACAAAAAGTGTGAAACAGGACTCTCATAAATTTCCGCGTGGATATTAAGATAATCAGGACAAGTTTCTCATATAATAAAAGCAATTCCAATGTCAACATAATAAACAAGCGAGACGCTATAGTTGGGAGTTCCCGACTAGGGGATACCCTGGACGCTCTTCTACCAACATCAAATGCAACTCGAGTTTTAGCATAAGAGACTTGATGCTGATCAAGAATATATATATATATATAGGAAGGTGAATGCTTCTTCAGGTTTTAGTTGTGAAATCTGAAGTAGAACTTTCCCACATGTTCCCTTCTGGAATTAAGTAAAACCCGTTTAATTTAAGCACGCTTAATGGCACTTGATGAAATGAATTCCTAATCAGACGAGTAAATCAAGATTGGAAATAAGTGAAATTCTTGAACTTTTCGTTTGCCAACTGAGCGAACTCTGAGTATAATCGGATAATGCAGATAATTCAGATAATAATAATTGATTGTTTACTCGGAAAAACGGACAGTCAATGATTTTGTTGTTGACGGTTTTTTCCACTTAGGTTTTTTGGGCCAGGTTAACATTGTCAACGAGTTTTGTGCTTCACTGCGCACGGCGTGAGGCTGGTAGAGGGGATGGCAGGGAGAGAGGTAGAGAGGGGGACACATACTCATCCTCGTATGGGTTATCCTCGGAGCGATTGCTGTAATTGTAGGACATCCTTAAGACGGGGCTGACGGCAGCCGCGTAAGTCGCTGTATGACACGCACTAGGGGTACTCAAGTTATGCGAGTTTGAAAAAATGAACTTGTGCAATAAATACTTATAAATAAATACAATATTACGTAAAGTGTAATGTTGTTGTTTGACTATTTATTGAATCTGTTTTTGTGTTTAATTAATTTTTGTACTATGTACAACACGATTTGTTTGTTTTTTTTTTTTGTTTTTCTTCTTTTCTTAATATTCTTTCTTTTTGGCAAATAATTTTTATTGCGTGCCCCTATTTATCGTTTTCGGGTTTTAATTACAGTTTTCTGCTCGCGCTTCACAGTTCACTTTGAGTTGAGCTCTGAATGCGACTGCCCCACTGCATAGATGGGTTGCCCTCGCGTTACTAACTAGCATGCACAATTTTTTACCCTATTTTGTAGGTTTTTAAGTCGCGTCGCAGTCGGCGGCCAGCGGCCAGCGAATACAAAAAAAAAAAAAATAACCACAGCGTGAAAAGCATATACAAATATAAAAAAAGAAAGAAACAAAAAAAAAAAAAACTTTCCTGATGTTCATATAAATTTTGTGCTTCTGCGCTTTGCTCATTATTCGCATTTATGCGTTCTCATACCCTCCCGCCGCCGCCGCCCTACCAGCCGTCCGCCTATCGCCGCTGCAAATGCAACCGCGAGCTGAGCTTAACAGATCAGAGATCCGATCCGAGCATATCTGTCACTCAAAACCGTTGTTGCGCTCTCTCGCCCTCGCCGCCGCCCTCTCGCTCTCTCTCTCTCGCGCAGTCTCTCTGTCTTTCACTGTGGCTTTGACTTAGCCCAGGCCAAATGAGAAAAAAAAAAAACTCAACTGAACTGTTTTATTTGTTCTTTTAATTTTGCCTTTGCGTGTTTACTTTTCGGTTTCTTTTCTTTCGGCTTCTTCCCGTTTCTGTCATGTGCCTCGGTTTTCATTGCTGGCGTTGGCTTATTCGCACTTCTTTCAATTACACTTGATTTATCATATTTGACAGTTACTCAGCCATGCCTTTGATAACGCATGCGATCTACCCTGCATGCCCTACCATCGAAATTAACGGCCATATTGGTGGGCATATTAATAGTTCATGCATCTACTTATATTGTGTGATAATTTTTTGATTTCATTTTTGATTTTTTGTATTATTTTTTATTTTCCATAACACAATATAAGGGTAAAAACAAAAGTGTTCGAAATTCCGAGAAGACGAAAACAGAATATTAATTGGATTTAAATTTACTAATAAACATATTTTACACAAATAAATCACTTTTGAATAGCACGGGCTATTTGAGTCTTGCGCTTTCGGTGTTAAACCATAAACTAGTCTCGGCTTCGAACCCGGATATTCATTGTTCAATTGTCTGTTTTATTAGGCTACATTTGAAAACACATCTAATGTAGACTGCACTTTGTATTTTAATTGACTTTAATTATATATGCTTACAATATTTTCTCTCACATTATTTAAGATTGAATATTCACAATTTTTAAAATTTAATTTAAAAACCTATTTAAAATTCTATATT